GGAACTTTAAGAATGCATTTCGATCTGGAAGATTACTTTCCATGAATGGTGAGGATTTGAGGACTGCAATCGAGACGAATTGATCTTCAGAAAACTTGCTAGTATATTTAATATTAATGAAGAAACTATAGAATATGCTTCTTTAATTTTTTACATGGAAAACGGCAAGAATTTTTCTGGATACCTGATATTAGCGGTGTCTGCATAGAAAATTTTTTCAAAGCATGTGATGCACGTGTCGTGAAGAAAAAAGAATTCGATACGAGACGAAGTAGACTAAATTTGTGTGAAAACGTCGCAAAGTGCATTAAAGTCTCGTCGGGATATTTCCAGTGCAAAACTCACTCGAGCAAGGACTTGTGTCCGTGGAGATGGACCGATGGAAAACTCTGGCACCGCTGAATCCGCCTCGAGCGCAAACTAGACTTGTGCCAAATGGAGTCAACGTTTTCGCTAACGTGCTTCGCTTTCTCGCTGTATAGAGGCGGTACGAATGGAAGAGGATAATGGAAGTTGAGCGGAATGCGAAGCGATAAACAGGTGATTGCGATGCTCCTCGACAAGAAACAGTCGAATCGATGTGGAGCGTTAGTAAATGGAGGTAATTCTCGATAGACTAACGCGCGGTTAATGTGATACCAGAAACATGACTCTACGATACTTATCTGTTATTCTTGCTAAAGAATTTCAAAAAATTATATAAAAATATTACATTTTTTAATGCGTTAAAATGTATAATATTACATATGTAAATGATTTATAATTTTGTAAAAAGGCGTAATACAAAGGAGGATGATCAATTTTTTTCTGATAACCTTTACAAAAAATATAGTATATCTTTGAATGTATGAAGTTCCACTTATAACTATAAAAATTTTTAATAAATCAATATAAGCTATCGATTAAAAAACGTTTCCAATCAATTTCTTGAAACAATATTAATATCTAGACTAGTTTTTGATAGTTTAGTTATTTCAGTAAGAGTGTGTAAAGCTAACTATGATATCTATGTCACATTTTAACAATGAATTGCTATTTAAAAAATGATTGTATAGTGTATTTTGTCATATTTATTAATAAAATGTTCATAGATTTGTATCTTTTAATCATACATATTAGTTATAGACTCAGCTTCTATACTAAAATCTATTATGGGCTGAAAATAAATCGATTTAACTTATAATTTATGATTTTGCCGAGAAAATATATGTAATAGAATTAAATAATAGTAATATAATATGTAACAGAATTACTCGTCTTTGATAATATAAAATAATTTTAATATTCCAGATATTAAACGAGGAATGGAATTAACTTTTAAAAAATAAGATAAAAGAATAGTTTTTAAGTTTTATTTTACACTATTCTCTCTTTCATATTATGTATTTAAGTAAGTTTTTCAGATGCAAGTTGTCCGACATACGATTAACGGTATTCATAACGGACTACGAAATAATTTGGTCACTGGAAAGAGGTCAGCTCAACCTGTCCATTAACGTTTATTCGTCACGTTAGAATATTCACCATCATCCAAATCGTTCGTTTGCAAACGTAATTATAATTATATATATACAAATGAACCGTCTTATAGGAAAATGGTGAATTTCATTGTGAGCTATTTTCGTTGATACAACACGTAAGGATCATCGAAGTTCATTTATCTGAGAAAAAGATATGGATACTCGATCGAGAGAAGTTTTCCAGTCTCGCGCGCTGTTGAATTGATTGAGTTGCGAACTCGATAGTTTCATTAACGAGGACTTTGCGAGAGATCGGTAACGAATTCCATCAGCGGATAGATAGATCGATATTATGTTACGTTACGTTGCATTTATCGTTTGGAATTAAGCGGTATTATGCTATATTATGAATTGAAATATGATTAATAATTATAATAACATATACATACGTATATTCCTAATGTATTTTCCTTCGCGTGAAATGTTATAGCGATGTTATTCGTGGAAATGTTAATTACGCCGAAATATTTCGAATTGCTTATATATTCAAAAATTTTGACAAAAAATTTGACAAAGTATCATAATATAATAATAATATTCTAAAATAAAAAAATGTTTATAGGAAGATTACAATACGCCGTAAATCACATTTAACAAAACCTCAATCCGTATATTATTCATTATTTTTATACCATTGCGCATTATTAATCGTTTTAGTTAAAGTATTAAGTGCGTCATAAGAGTAGCGAAAAAAGAGAAGAAGAACAAAGTTCTATTCTGTGCTTTAGATAGGAAAGTCAGTTAACAAAGCAAGAGGCATCGCAATAATGAACATGTTGGAAAAATACAGTTAATTGGTTTAATTGAGGTCGTATGTTCGTGACGTGAGTCTCTGATGATATATCGATCACATTATCTTTTCTTCAAATTATATTAAAAATAAATTGAGAAGTAAAGTTAATCTTTTACTAATTTTAACATTATTTTGTCAAACGTTATCATTATTCCAATTATTTTTAGAAACTGTCCTATCAATTGGCGATGACATTATATCAATGACCTTTGATATTTTAAGAGATAAATTATGCTACACAACTAATCAATAAATATTTCACAAACATTTTTTTAATCGAAGAGCCTTTAACCAATTATAAAGAATGTTACGTCCATAATAAACATTATATAAAAGGTGACGTAAGACAAGATAAACTCTTTATCCGTTTAGCTGCATACAATATGAAATGTAATCGATACGTTAAAATAATGTTTTTATAAGCTGAATATTTCACGCTAAATTTAAATACTCATTTAAAAAAATATCTGCATAAAAATCGTGTCCATTGCACACAATACATACAGGAAGATAAATTTAAGTATATAAAAGAAAATAAAAGCTTACTATATACTTTGATTGCATTATTTAATTAGATCAAATTTTTATTGCTCCCTGAATCGAAAACGACTTGATAGATCGATAGTTTAAAGTAGACTGTCACACCGAGATATACAAGCAGTTAATCGTGCAGAGGAGACGCATATCGTACCAAATGCAGTTCTCGTGCCAAATCCGATTTGGAGTACAATCGACGTGGCTAAAGAAAGTTCAAGAGGTAGGTTATCGGCGAGAGTAATCGCACCAGATATTGACAAATCACTTTTAAACCAGATTATCTTGACAGGTTTTACGTGTCCGTTAAATTTTTTAAATAGAAAAAAGAGATATTTCTTTTATATAAAAGAAAAAAAAATAAATAAAAAGGAAAAAGGGCTACGAGCCCTCACAAAAATTGTGCGAAACGTATTTTATGAAATTCCATCCTAATAATTAGTTTATACATTATATGACAATTGATCGTGTTTGAAATAAAGCACAATGTATTTTCAATTATCCGCATTTTGGTCCATTTATATTCTGTGCGAATTTTATTTCAGCACTATTATATTGACTATACATTTCTGTGTGAAAGCAAGGATTCCAAAGTAGTCGAGAGAACAGTTTTATGCTCTTTTCATTATATGTTAAAAAGTTACTTTCGAACGACGAGAGTCCCACTTGGAACGGTATACTCGTCATCTTCGTGTCCTCCAATGACGTACGTCCACGTTGGAAATTTCAACCGGAGTCACACTTTACTGTCTCACTTTATCTCGTTTCTCTTCTCTTTACCCAACTGTTGACGTCATCAGCGAACATGCTATTTTGTACAATGCTTTCGTTCTAATTTTGAATACTTTTATGTTTTATAAACTTAACTTTCTGCTTATACATTTTTTCTATTCGCGCTAATAAAATTAAAGTAAAAATATTTTTAATTAAATCTAAAGAAATTACTTACGTTATCATCTTAAATAAGTACACAATTTTCTATTTATTAAATATTTTATATAGAAAACCAATAATATTTATTATCAAATAGATTTTTATTATCGTTACTAAAATATTTTAAGATTTATTTTTTTAAAACTTTACAATTATTCAAAATAAAATTATTACTAAATTTAAAAAAAATCAAATAATCAAGAATATTTTTATTGGTTATTTAATCTTCTCTAATATCTAATTCTTCTAATTATTTCTTTCGCAATTTTAAGTACAATTAATTTTATAAACCATTTGTCGGAGTAACCGAAAAGATAATAAAATATTTTATGGAATATTGTACAATGATAAGCGAGATTAAGAGAGTTATAATTATAAATTGTTATAATTCGATTACTTTTAGAGCCGTTCGACTATTTTTTTTATTTATAATTATTATTCAACTATTTTTGGTAACTATATATATATCTACTATATATATATGGTAACTATATATATATATCTACTTATTTTCTTGTTATGCATTCCATTTAATTTCTTTGCTAATTTTTATAATTTCTAATTTCATCATAACATTTAATTTCTTCCAATTTTTATGTAACAAAAGTGCAATTTTCTTCACAATTGCTGAATAATTTAATTCGACAATTTCGTAATTTTCCGCGGAATCAATATTATAAATATCTTTGTCAAGCACTAGATCACCAATTAAAATACTAACTGTAATTTCTGAATCTATTGCATTACATTGTAAATAAACTTATCGTAACTCTTTCGTGAGTAGAATTAATCTGTATTTTTTCACAGTAACGCTGATGACATCTCAACTGTCCCTTTTTATCTTTCATTTAACTTACTTATGCCCTACTTTAGCTATTCCCGCCATAAGCTTTGTTTCTAGATTTAAAAAATTTATTTCATTTAGAAACTAACTACGAATAATTTACCAAAAACAAAATGTCAATGTTTAAAATATTATGTAGAACACTATACCAGTATCAAAAAAATGTATCACATATGTCAAAGATATTAAGTTCTTGCCACTAAGGCGTGACGTCATTATTATTGCGTTCTCGGTTATATAGACGTTCACGGTCCTTTATTGATTGTTGTAGCTATCAGCGCAATTTCGTTAATAAGTAAAACGTCATAATCGCTTCCACGTCATCTCGCACATCTTTTACATACAATCATCAATCTATTTTTAGTTTCAGTTCAATCTATTCAATTTGCATTCTGTAGTTCGATCTTTCGCGTGCTGTCACTGACCTTGAGTCGAACTTGCTGCCATCCTGGAGCGTGCCGGTGTAGTGCATGGTCAGCTGGTCGCCCTTCTTTGACCTGACGTCGCATACTTCGGGCATATACATCTTCTCCACCTTTAGGCCGCTCTCAGCATTGTCAGCCCTGCTGAGAGCCACAATTGTTACCACGAAGAAGAGAGCGTAACGGCACATCGCAAACACGGCACTCACGCTGTTCGACGTATAAGAGACCATGTTCATCAGTCGACGGATGCTCGTGAGCAACTGAGTTCTCGCAGCGTTCTACACCAGCGAGCCACCTTCTGATCCCCGCTCGTCCCACCGTCCCAGAGCGACGGCGCCGTGGTCGGGACGGAGATCAGACCAACGGGACCAGAAAAGGACGGAACGTCCATGCCGCCACATTGCGCCGTCTCATTGGCCCCATGGAATATGTAGGTCTCTATACCTCGGGAAAGTCCTTTTCTCTCTCTGCTGCCTCTCGGTACCGCTCGCGATTTCTCGCTCAGCCCTACTTGGTCGTCTCTCCTCGTTCGTTTCATCTCACATTGCGCTCTTCTGTCTCTCCTCAGCCGCCTGTTCCACAGCTCTGTCTTTTTCATGGTTGTATCCCGGAGTTGCGCGTCTTGCTCCGACCTGATTCTCTTCCTGCTTTCTCTCTCACCATCACGTTTTGCACTGCTTCATCCTTACTGCGCTTACATACCGATATCTTCATCCTTCTTCCGCCAATGGCATATCACAGTGTCTGTGGCTTGCTCCGCGTTCGCTGTATCTTTCTCATTCGCCTATCAGGTCGGTGTTTCCTTTCATCCCTTTAGTCCCGTCTTCCGCACCTCTTCGCATCATTGCGTCTCTCCCTTTTTCCTTTCTCTCTCTTTTTCTTCGCTCATTCTCTCCTTCTCTCACGGTTACCGATATAAAAAACACGAGTCGACTTGCGCTCTGATTTTGACGAGACCTCGCAGGTACATCGTGCGAATGCAAGTTTAAGAAAATGTATCGTTCTTGTAAATCAAATTAAGGAATAAATTTTATTCGGAAGAAATGTTATTTTACTAACACGTGGAAGTGGAACCCGTTATTAGAATCACAATGGAAACTTCGTTGAAGTTCGCTCTATTAGGTGAACCATTTTACCCTCAAAGTAAGCTATTCAAATAAAGAAATATTTCTTTCATATCTATAGCAAAATATTGTGAGTTAGTTTAGCATGACAATTAAAAATTTTGTATGCAATCGCATAATATTCAGTCATATCTCATCTCACAATTAAAATTCAAGCAGCTGTATTTTTATTAAAATACAGTTGACCAATGCAAAAGGGAAACTTTGAAATATGAGTCCAATTCAACAACGATAAAGGATATAGATGTGTGAAAAATGCATTTGATTCTCATCCCTTAGAATTTCATTCGATTTTGTTCACTTCGTCAAGCAGAGGTATCTTCGATTTTTCCGGTTCCTCTCGGTTTGTTCTCTTCGAGCTTCTTCAACGCAATCCTTGCCTTTCACGTATCGTCCCGCGTATCCATCTATCGCTCTTTAATTTCGTTCGCCGTCTCTCGACCGCTGCACCTCGTGTTACATGTCATCCTGATCTCGTCGTTTATCACTGATGTCATCGCACCACCGCTGTGAGGTGCATCCAAGCGTTGCAATGCGTTTCCTTCCTACGCGGAGAAGGATTTCGTGGTCGTTTCGCGAAACGTATGGATGTCGCACTGATCAAACTGGTTGGCCATTATGTTTCCTTTATTTTAGAAGTTCCGGTTTAAATGTCTCACTTGAAATTGGAATATTAAACTATGAGTTTTTAATCAGTTACGATCAACTGTTAGAAAAATTCACTCGTGCTAACAAAATTCATCTCTCGATGAATTATTTATGGGATATTTCACGTATCGGTATGTAAATGCGACTGGTCGAGATATGTACATCAAATTTGCTAACTGCTACAGCGGAATTTCCGGATAGCATTTGAATAGCGATACTCAATCGATTAAGGTTCGTTTTTAACCAAAATGGAATTTTACAAAGTAAAATTTATGTGTGTGATATATGTATAGATATAAATATAAAAATAAAATTATGATGAAAATGGAATAATAATCGCGTTATCACATTACACATGCTATTGTTGTATTAGTTAGAGTGGAGAGCGCATTCAAATCAATTATGTATTTCATAAATTTCAAATTAATTGATTTATTAATTCATAGTTATGTTGAAATTATAACTAAATGTAATTTGTTATTTATGATAATTATATTTATATTATATATTTATAATTATTGAATATGCATAATATGTATATTTATTTTATGATAGCATTTTGAAATTCCAGCTAGTAGCAAATCGTTTTGGGTTTGAAGCGATTTTACTTATTTTTCGATATTTTGCGATACTTACATTAACTGACAAACAGAAATTTGGAACCACGTAAAAATTCTTTTTAACAGTCTTTTTAAGAGTCTTGTAATTAAAACAATGTTAG